ACACCCACAAATATTTCCAAAAACGTAGTGTTGCCTTTATCTGAAGTACTAAATAAACAAATAGGTACTCTCTTTCTGACCAGATACGTGGCAGCGCTTCTGCTATAATTTTGTTCATATTTAACAAAATAAAAATGCAGATATAAGTGTACACATTCATTTTTGACTGCTAGTGAAAACTGTTTTGTTTACAAATAACTCTCTCACTGAACTAAAACAGCCAATCCATTCACATGTTTGTACTCTCTGCTCATAATGGCTGCATATTAAGTTTTTTTTTGCTTTTTAAAGAACTTACATACCCAAATGTTTCTCTGGACCAGCGTTCAGTTACATTCACCCTGAACATGTCAGAACTTACTCTGAGCAACCTGCCATGTGTTCTGCAGAGATGTTATAGAGGGGTAACTGCCTCAAACAGCTACGCAATGAAGACCTCTTGAACTCTGAGCTCAGATCAACCAGTGATTGAAAAAGACTATTTTGAAATTAAGCAAAACTGAAGAACCAAGTGCAGTTTTTTCATACTGACAACAAGTCTTTATAACCTGCTTGATTTTATTCTTGTTTTGTTTATTAGTTTTTCTAAGAGCAGTTCTTGATCAGTATGTAAAAGAATACATATAAACACAAAGATTCACATTGAGCAATCTAATTCTATGAAAGTACGCACCTTGTTAAACATTCACTAAAGTGAATGCTAACCTTTCATATTACTCACCAGGAACTAGTCATCTTGGAAGACAAAAGTGTTGTTTTTTTTGTTACCACGGAAGTAATGGTGAATTCAGAATTTAGTCTAAATGCCTATATAATTATCTAATTTCATGTAATTTCACTGTGTTGCTCACAGTTAGTAAAAATACATTAGATTTGCATAATTTTCAGCTGTAATTCTTGTATTTGAATGAGAAAAACCAATCAATATAGCAATATTAGTAGGGTGAATAAATCAAATAGCTTTTTAAGAATCAGTAAGTTCATTTACAATAAAAACTTCCAGAACAATAGAATATGACTTTACTTTGAACAAGAATGGAAAATAAAAAAAACCTGAACTACAAATAGCACCAAGGTGTCTTGAATTCGTGAAGGATACAACGAAATGCAGCCATCAAGGAATAATTAGAATCCGAACCTAGGCTGTAAAAATATGACTTTTTAAGGTGCTTTCTTTTATGAAAACATCTGGACAAGGAATGTGGAATAATTTTAGTATTATACAAAATTACGAGAAATATTTTTACTAGAAAACGTAGTATTCTCGGCTGCTATAGTTCTTGTAAATACACAGAAACTGAGGTTAGAGAATGCACTGAGAACAAAAATAATAGTATAGAAATGTCTTCTTACCGTTTCCACTTTTTAAGTTTTGCTGATAGGCAGGAATCACTGGAACCTCTGAAATCCTGTGAAAACTGGAGGTCATCCACCATCGGCACTGCATGCAGGAAAGAGGGCTGTCTTTTTCTCTTCCGGTAATCCCAAACAACAGCGAACCTTGGACAAAACAAGGTGAGGGTGGAGTCACAAAACAGTGACTCCACCCTCACCTATCAGGGTGGAGATTTCAAGCAGAAATCCAAATGTAACAAACTCATGAATCTGCTTCCTACCATACAAAGCATATGAAACATATTTTATAAATAAAAGATTTATAAAAGAAAGTTTTGCAGATAAGTATAAAAGATAAGTATCTATAATACTTATCTTTGCAAATTAAGTACATTTTTTTTTATCTTTTTGCTTAGCTATAGGGAAAGGTAAAGAAGCCCAACTGTAATCCTGCTACACACAACATCTAAACATTTGCTCATAGAAAAGCAGTTTTTGGATTATAAAAACAAGTTGTTTTTTCAGAGTTTAAAAGCAAATCTACAATTCTCCCAAACTAGTTTTCAGTCACTAAGCAGAGGACACATTTATTGCAAATACATGCAATAAATACGGAGAGCGTTGGGGACCTAACTGCCTCACAAACAGGAAGAGACGTTTTTACCTGCTGCCATCAAGGAGACGTTATCATATGCTGAAAACAACAAAGACAGAATGACTGGAGTTTCCACCCCCAGGTTGTCAGGCTGAAATAAGACTTTAACTTAATCCTGAATCTATTAATGTGATAGATGACAAATCTGTGTGTTAGAGTTTGTATTGTTGATTGTCATTTATGCTTAGAAATATTTACTTATATATGCTTAGAGTTTTGTAATTAGTTGTAGATTGGTAGAGGTTTTGATCCTTGATAGTCTGCAAACTTTGTGTGTATTAG